CCGATTCCCCAAATTTGATTACAAAGATCCACACTATCGTCTTTTGTTCCTTTTCCTCTCCTCTGAGTTATTTTTTTACTCTCTATTATATTTAAAAGTAATGCTGGATGAATTTGTGAATTATATATTAAATGAAATATTTTATTATTGCTTTGAATTTAGGTCAAATAAACTCAAATGTTTCAAATGCATTTCTGTCTCCAAATGAGTCACTTGTTAATATTTAATTCATATTTTGTGAATCATATTTGTTCCCACACATTTTATGGAAAATGCGATGCAAAAGTGACAATTAATTGCATCCGTAACCATTGTAAACCCTTGAGAAACTAACCATTTGTGTAAATAGACCATTTAAATGAACCAGATATTCAACTGCTCTGTTTTCTCTTGCGGTGTAATTCGCAAGTCAAGCGTTTGATTTTCCATGTTGTCATCGCTGTAGATAAACCGATGGCTGACGGAGGCACCCTGGAGATACTGAACTGCACTGTCAGGTGCTCACATGGGCAAATGAAGAACCAGAGAGCAGTGAGAAGCAATCTGTCTGCTTCGAGTGTAGATGAGTTGTTTAATCAAGTATTGGAATATATTCTCAGGCATTTTGCATTATAATGGAAGATTTGCTTATTTAAAAATGTAAATGGCCAGGTTGCTTGTGACGCATATGAGATCGGGACACCTCTTTATAAAGAGTTTCCATATCGGACTTGATCCAGATTGATTGTTTTTAAATGGAGTCCTCTGCTCAGTGGTTTGATTCAGATGAGGCTGAGTTTCAGGTGAGGAACTCGACGGTGAGACTCTGATGGTGCTGATGAGTCTGGGCACAGTGATGGGTGAGCAGTACTCTACTCAACAACATTCAACAATGTCTGAATGTAAGAGTTTTCCTGTGGACATGAGAAAGTTTTGCATTTGATTTCTAATACATATCTGAGGATTTTAGTATGATGCTATAAATTACATTTTTGATGTGTTTCAATTTGTATTAACTGTAACATGCTAAAAGGAATAGTTTTAAAGAACTTATTTTCTTGTGCATATTGTTTTAATTGGTAATTATGCAATAAATGTCAAATAATAAAAAGAATATCAAAATATGTGTTCGTAAGTAAAAATGTGTTCCCTAATGATAAAGCATTTAAAGGACACATGATCAAAAAAAAATAATTACATGAAAATTTTATATGACTATTTATTGTTTAGTTAATTATTATAATATTTATTCATATATACACTACCGGTCAAAAGTTTGGGATCAGAACGATTTTTGATGTTTTTTTACAGGAGTTTCTTATGCTCATCAAGGCTGCATTTATTTGATCAAAAATACAGTAAAAAAAAAAAGAATATTGTGAAATATTATTATAATGTAAAATAACGTTTTTCTTTTTTAATATACATTCAAATCTAATTTATTCCTGTGATGCAAAGCTGAATTTTCATCATCATTACTCCAGTCTTCAGTGTCACATGATCCTTTAGAAATCATTCTAATATGCTGATTTATTATCAGTGCTGGAAACTATTGTGCTGCCTAATATTTTTTTGGAACCCGTGATACTTTTTTTCAGGATTCTTTGATGAATAGAAAGTTAAAAAGAAGAGCATTTATTTAAAATAGAAATATTTTCTAACAATATACACTACCGTTCAAAAGTTTTGGGGTCAGTACATTTTTCTTTCTTTTTTTGAAAGAAATTAAAACTTTTATTCAGCAAGGATGTGTTAAATTGTCAAGAAGTGATAGCAAAGATTAATATTGTTAGAAAAGATTTATATTTTGAATAAATGCTGTTCTTTTTAACTTTTTATTCATCAAAGAATACTGAAAAAAGTATCGCAGTTTGCCAAAAAATATTTGGCAGCACAACTGTTGCCAACATTGATAATTCTAGTAATAAATCAGCATATTAGAATGATTTCTTAAGGATCATGTGACACTTTATACTGGATGGGTCAACTGCAATGTAAGTACGAAATTCTTTACATTTCACATTTATTTACATAGCGCTTTATACAGTACAGAATTTTTCAAAGCAGAGTCACATTAATAAACAGGAAAATAGCTATTAATGCTGTAAAATGAATTATAAAACGAGTTCAATTCAGCTGTAAGGAGCTCTACAGACGGAGATAAGTGTCGTTATTCAGCTCTAGCCAGTTCAATGTTGATTCAGTTCAGTTCAATGGCAGTCTTGATGTTGCAAATTTAGTGTCTAGCTCAATTCAGAACAAAAATTATTTCTCAACTTATAGTGTCAGTAAAGTTAAATCAATAATATTACTGAATATTATTTTTCTTTTAAACATCAAATGTTTATACCTTAAAGGTGACGTGTGTGATTTCCCAACTGCCAGCACCACTAAATGGAATTGCAAAAGTAATCACTTTGCAAGTTTCTACAGTACAGAATTTTTCAAAGCAGAGTCACATTAATAAACAGGAAAATAGCTATTAATGCTGTAAAATGAATTATAAAACGAGTTCAATTCAGCTGTAAGGAGCTCTACAGACGGAGATAAGTGTCGTTATTCAGCTCTAGCCAGTTCAATGTTGATTCAGTTCAGTTCAATGGCAGTCTTGATGTTGCAAATTTAGTGTCTAGCTCAATTCAGAACAAAAATTATTTCTCAACTTATAGTGTCAGTAAAGTTAAATCAATAATATTACTGAATATTATTTTTCTTTTAAACATCAAATGTTTATACCTTAAAGGTGAAGTGTGTGATTTCCCAACTGCCAGCACCACTAAATGGAATTGCAAAAGTAATCACTTTGCAAGTTTCCCCCCCTTTTGCCATTGGTCGACCAAACCAGTTGTCCCGCCCCCAAATTCATGCCATTGACTGAAAGTTGCTGGGCTAAACTGATCGGCATTCTTAAAACATAACAGTGGTTTTGATAGAACCACAGTCTTTATTTTAGCATGGAAAAATTAAATGCATCAACTTTAAAGGGGTCATACTGCTCCGGGTGTGTGTTCACGGTGTGTGTGTGTTCACTGCTGTGTGTGTGCACTTTGGATGGGATAAATGCAGAGCACTAATTCCAAGTATGGGTCACCACTTGGCCACATGTCACGTCATGTCACATATGATGCAATTTCAAGTTTTCCTTTCTCTTTGGAGTGTTACAAGCTCTTGGTGCATAAAGAAGATCTGTAAAGTTGCAAAGACTAAAGTCTCAAATCCAAAGAGATATTCTTTATAAAAGTTCAGAGTCAACCACGCCTACCTAAAACGGCTCGTTCTAACACGCCCCCACATATCTACGTCACTATGTGGGAAGATTTGCATAACGCCGCCCAAATGTTCACGCAAAGAAAGAAGGTGTAACTTTTAGTCTCACTGAAGTTTTGTTGACGCTGCAGCCATGTCGTGAAGACGCTGTGTGTTTCGTTGTGAAAGCGAAACTACTTTGTTTGGTCTTCCAAAAGAGGACGATATCCGCTTCATCATGCCTAGAGCTGGTCGCTGAGGGAATACATCAACTTTTACCGTGGACGAAGCGGAATCCAGCCCGGGGTCTGTCACATGTGGTGCACCGTTCTCGCCCCCGCCGCTTCGGCTCACTCTAGCCCGGCCTCAGCTCACGCTAAGCCAGGGCTTCCGCTCACGCTAGCCCGGCCTCAGCTCACTCTATCCCGGCCTCAGCGCATGCTAAGCCGGGGCTTCCCCTCACGCTAGGCCGCTGTGTTTTTCGTTGTGAAAGCGAAACTACTTTGTTTGGTCTTCCAAAAGAGGACATGACTACAAATCAGTGGTTAAGTTGTATTTACAACACTGTTCCAGTTCAGTTTAACCCAAATATCCAGATGTGTGCAGCGCATTTTATGGAGGACTGTTTACTGATCCTGGGAGAGTAACGTTAGACTAAAATGCCGGCAGTTCTGAATCACGTAAGTACGTTTTAATTTAAAGGATTTGCCACTGATAATTCAAACGTGAGTTTTGGGCAGTAGAGTTGCACTTGTTGTTTGTCATTTCTCTGATGTTTACGCGGCGCGATGCAATGCAACGCAACGCGTAAAAAGACAGTATAAGTCATTATAATCAGTAATTATGTCCCCACTGGATGCAACAAATGCCTCGTTTGTAATGTGTTTTAATGTTTTTGTCTCGTCGCTCCAGCCGGGACACGGCATCAACAGTATGTGAGGGGCGTAACATTTCCGTCTCACGCAGTGGACAGCTGGCCAATCAGAGCACACCTCGCTTTTTCAGACCGATGAGCTTTGTAAAAATCGATGCGTTTCAGAAAGGCGGGGCATAGAGGAGAAACAATAATGTACAGTATGTGGAAAATAATGTTTTTTTTTTTTTACTTTAAACCGCATAAACACATTTCATTACACCAAATACACATTTTTTTTTGATCATTTTGTACTGGTTCTCTTGGTCTTCCAGGATCTATGTCTGTATGTCGGCTACACGTCCTCAGTCTACTGCACCGAGTCAGTCTTAACACTCGCCGCTATCATGCTGGACCGTTATTTCTCCATTGTGGACTGCCTCCGGTACGATTCCCACTGCACAATATGGAGAACAGGTTTGGCAGTGTTATGGATCTGGCTGCAAGCTATGGTAACCAGCTGTCCTCCTCTATTTGGATGGAGCAGCATTAGTTTTGTGGCTCCCGTGTACAGCTGTGCAGTGAACTGGGCCAACAGCCCAAGCTACACCATAATAATGGCCTCATTATAATTTCTTCTACCAGCTGTAGTCATCTGTAGTCAACAATCCTGTTCTGCTACGTGAAGATTGTCCGTGTTGCACGGTACCATGCTAGGAGGATTCACAGTCTGGAAGAACATCTCCAATGTAACAGGGCCCCATCTGGCTTGAATCTCCAACACTCATTCATGGACTCCTTCACACCGTCCAGGCTGGTGTACCATGTGAGTGGGAGGTTTGTGATGGACCAGTCGGATGTTCCTGGTGAAATTTCTCCAGATGCTCCATCTGAGATGTCTTCTAAGTTGGCTGGTGGATGTCTACACTCGTTCTTGGCTCAAATCCATAGCAGTATCCCTCAGAATCCCAACCAAGCTCAGCATCATGGAGTCTTGAGGTTGTTCTCGGTCATCGCCACTTTCTTCTTGTGCTGGACTCCCTATATTAGTGTAGCTCTGGTGCAGGCCACCGAAACCGCCCTGTCCCGGCCCTGCAGCCAAATAAATGCAGCCGTGGTATATATTACATATTTTAAAAAAGCATTTAAAAATCTTAATTATTCCAAACATTTGACCAGTAATGTACATTATGATACATATTTTATATAAAATGCTTTTAAAACTTCTGTTTATATTGATTTTGTTATATAGAGTCTATATACTGTTATATTGATCATTTTATGTATATTTGATACAAATATTGTTCAGAAATGATTATTTTTGCTTATGTGTTTCAGAGGGTTTTAAAGCAGAAAAAGTCAGTCATAGTTTTTGTTAAAGCACTTGTGAATTATTCAGTAAAACCTGTTTTTATGAGCTTTTAACTTGCTTTTAATCTTTTTTTTTTAGGTGGGCCTTCTTACTATGTGGATGAACTTTTGTGCTTTGCCGACATGATTTCTGTTGGTTGTGGCTTGTCATGTGAAAGCTACTTGGTTTTACCTATGTTACATAGTGTGACATTTAAAGGCACAATTTGTAAGATTTTTTTTATTAAAATATCCAAAAACCACTAGAACAGTGTTATATATTTTGCTGACTTGTGTACTTACATTATCCCAAATGTATCGAAGAATGTTTAAATCCAGAGAAATAAGCAATTTTAACTAGTGACACGGAGCGTGCCCATTGTGTCGCCTGCCAATGACGTCATAACCCCTCGATTTCCGGTTTTGTTTTGTAGAAAACATGGGCTGTGTCCGAAATCGCCCCATATACCCTCATTCACTATTCCCTACATTATGTCACTAATTCAGTTCACTAGAAGGAGTGAATGAAAACGAGTAGTGAATTCGGACACTGAGTGCACCGGAAGGAATGCCGCTTTTGCATAGTTTGTGCTTGCTGTTTATTAATCATTTGAAACTAGCAAACTAGCAGCTCCAGTAGTAAGATTAAAGGATTTATTTATCACGGAAATTATGTATAAACCCTAATCAAACAATTTAATAATCAATTTCCAATGAATTTATACCCGTGTTGTAATTTATGCTGTACGCCATGGATGAGCGCTTTGTAAAAATGAACGGATTGATTATTCAGCTGCGGGCACTATCTTCTGGCAAGATGCGGGAATTAATTCGGCACGTGACTCTCACGGTGCATTATGGGCATTCTCTAGCCGTTGAGCGTGCACCAGTTGTACACTCGTTTTTGCAGTGCATTGTGGGATTGAATGAGTGCACTCCAGAACGTCCACTATGGTTTCGGACACCACTAAAAATGGCTGTTCCCTCAAATAGTACCCTATTTAAGGGTATAGGGGGCGATTTCGGACACAGCCATGGAAACACCAAAGACGCTTTTTTTTCCCCACATACGCATGACCGGAAGGAGCAGAAGCGGTGGACTTGTGGCATAATAAAAGCTCAGCTGCTTTCGAGCCGTGTGTCACGCTCGTTCAGCGGCCTCGTTTAGCCTCACCCTGCTTCATTCTACTACGTTAATAAATCATTAGCTCATCCATGAACATGATTTCTGCCAGAGTCCCGTCGGATTGCATCGGCTGTGGGGATGAAGACCACAACTCCCATGATTCCACACTCAGTCACTGCTTCATCAAACTATGACTTTGCCTCTTTGTTTATTTTGAATACGCGCCCTCTAGCGGCACAAATTACATATTGTGCCTTTAAGTCAACAAAGTATATGATCACATATAACTTTTAAACGGGCAAGGTCAGGAAGAGCTCCTGTTACGTTAGTCAACATCATGCCAACATGTTTAAGATACACTTTTGAAAGCTGCAATCCGTAACTTTTTTTGTGTTCAAAATTTATATAATAAGCGAGTACACCATGAATCCATTTTCCAAACCATGCTTTTAGCTTGTCCTGAATCAATACGGTACACCTATAATAAGTGTTTATATTCGGACTATTTAGACTGGTTCGGG